AGAGCAAGGCACACATAGGCTCTGCATTTCTTCAGCATCTACGTGAAGAGGCATCCCATGTGGAGGAGGGTTTTGTTCTAGTGGAAGCCCCTTCCCCATTGCTCTTCCTTCATATAGGGCCTTGATGACAGCCACTTTATTAGGAAAGGGACTTTCAGACTGCTTGTGGAATTAAGCTGCCTAGATATCATGCCAGCCATTTACAGGAGCTGTCTGGGAAAGCCAGCAGCCCCATACGTTAGGAGGCACCTGGAGACTTTGGATCCTTTTGGATGCTATAGCCGTCCAGTCATGGAAGGAGTCTAGGCTAGCCTATTATTCAGGCATCTTAGGATGAACATCTAGGGTCATTTTTGAACAATGCTTCTCCTTCATGACAATCTATCCGCAAGAAGCTTGAGTGCTCATCAGGTGTTTCTGAAATAGGAAGAGAGACATCATTTGATTTCCACCCAATCTTTAGAGGCTAAGTTAACTGGATTTGTCACAGTCCCTCAGGGATGAGCTAGATTGTCAACCACTTCCCCTCCCCACCATTTATTACCAATATATTCTATAGAGACCTCGAGATTGTTACTTTTATCCTTTGACATTAAAGTTGGAAAAGGAGAAGAGTGCATTGATCCTCCATTACCCACCTTCTGCATATTCCATGGTGCATGAGACTCCAGGGCAGAGGTACAAGGAGCTACTACGGCTCACTCAAAGGGCCCCTGCCATCAGTATTCGGGTCTGCAGCAAACATTAATTTGATGCACTCTTACAAAAGCTACCAGCAGGGGTCACAGAGAGCAAGCCCTTCCTTGGCTATTATTTTGTCCCTGATCCCAGACCCAAAGGATAAGGGTTTTTTGTTAAAGCCAAATAGTGGTGACCTCTTTGGGGAGAGGGGTGGTAGAGGATCAGGCCCCAGCCCCAGCTTCCTCTTTTCTTGAATGGACCTCAGATAGCATATAGGGACCTCGGGCACCTCTTGCAGACCATAGGAGATGTGGGGAGTTTCTATTACTTGGAACAATGGCAGGCCAGCTGTTCTTAGTCTTATTGGGGAGACTACAGGGTGAGAAAGGTTAAATGCCTTTGTTCTCTAAAGACAGTTGAGCTCTTCCTCACAGATTTCTTTAGCATGGTTTTCTTCTCTCCCTGGTTCTTGTGCTGACCAGATACTAGTGGTGTTTAATGCCCTGACCACTGTGCTAGCTCCGCTCATTCTGGCAGCTTTCCCAGGGAAACCCCTTTGTTCCTAAAAGGACCCTGAAATTTGTATTACCTTTAGATGCCATATATTTTCTTGTAAGAAATCTTAAAGGAAAAATTTCAGGCAAAATACCTGTGCTTTGTGGGCTGATAACATTAAAAATGAGGTCTTTTACTAGACAGTTGGGAGAGATGATTGCATTCAATTGTGTTGGAATAGGGAATGATGGAGTTAGGGTGGGGCTGATTTGAGTAGAATCTGGAAGAGATACATGGGTACTGACCAACAGTTCAAGTTTCATTTGGAAATATTTTCTTGAGAGAGTACCTGTTTTCCTGGAAGGAAAATTGTCTCTACTTTTATCCAAAGCAAGACGATCAGAGGAGACTTCACTGACAAGGTGATGTTTGCACTGAGGCTTGAGAGTTGCCTGGGTGCAAAGACCATCAGAAAGAGTATACCGGCCTTTTTTGAGACACAGCCAGGAATGTGTTTGGAAGGAGAGAGCAAAGAGCAGGGTAGAAAGGGGTGAGGTCAAGAGGTGATAGTGGGCCAGATCACTTACGGACTTTTAGGACATTCGAAGGATTCTAAGTGGGGTGGAACAGGTGTGCCTGAAGTTTGAGGACAGGGGAAAGTGAAAGAGAATATTTGAATGGTGGAAATGAGGGGAGCTTAAGAGGATTAGGAAACAGTAGTAAGGGAACACTTGTAATTCGGTTAATGAGATAGTTTGCTTCGTTTTTTTTTTTTTTCTTTGTTTATTTGTACACATATATTTTCTGTCCTAAAATTATAACTATTACATATGCTCCATACAGTTCAAGTTGAACTTGGCGTATACATAGTGAAATTTATTTTTGGCATTGTTTTCAATATTTTTTTTTTTTCACACACACGCACTGTATTTTATTTTTACAAGAGATAAATAAACTGACACCAAGCATTGTAAATGGATGACCGCAAGAAAAGCAACAATGATTGCAATTACCAAACACGAAACACACTCATACTATGTCATAATAGCGACATTCAGTCCAGTAATCCTCCACTGTAACAGCTCCTTTACTTTGCAGTGAAAATTGACTTGTATATTTTTTGCCTCTGAGTTCTTGTGGGATTGTTTTTTTTAATTCAAACAGAAAGTCATAAAAATTATAATCATCTTCCTAAGTTCACTCATTCCCATGTAATTATTGTTTTTTCTTCTTGATGTTTTGTAAGGCACTTTTATGAATTCATCAGTTTGCCATTAGAGTTCTGAAAATGCTTATTCGTTCAGTTACACAGTATAGTTAGTTACCAGAAACCTGTACTTGTCAGAGTGTTTTCCGTGAATTCCTTGAACATGAAACCCTTTTATAGGAACATTTTTGCAAAAGCATCAGAGTACACGCAGTACTCTCTCTAAATGATAAAAGAGTTAAAAATGACCATGGTTAAAGATTTGATGAAAGTTCATAATAATGCAATTGACAAGGAAATTTAGTTATTTCTGAGATATACATTTTAAAGTAATAACTAGAATTATGACTTATAACATTATACCAGAACATATAAGATTTTTAGAAATTTCATGTAATGTCTGAAACATTTATATTAACGTATTTCCATACAAATAACCCCAAAAAGTTTATTATTAGTTTTTTGTTGTTGTTGTTTGTTTGTTTATACTGCAGGTTCTTATTAGTCATCAATTTTATACACATCAGTGTATATTGTCAATTCCAATCACCCAATTCAACACAAGCACACCACCATCCTCACCCCACCACAGTTTTCCCCACTTGGTGTCCATACGTTTGTTCTCTACATCTGTTTCCCAACTTCTGCCCTGCAAACCTGTTCATCTTTACCATTTTTCTAGGTTCCACATACATGCGTTAATATACGATATTTGTTTTTCTCTTTCAACTAACTTCATTCTGTATGACAGTCTCTAGATCCATCCACGTCTCAACAAATGACTCAATTTCGTTCCTTTTTATGGCTGAGTAATATTCCATTGTAAATGTGTACCACTACTTCTTTATCCATTCATCTGTCAATGGGCATTTAGGTTGCTTCCATGACCTGGTTATTGTAAACAGTGTTGCCATAAATATTGGGGTGCATGGGTCTTTTAGAATTATGGTTTTCTCTGGGCATATGTTCAGTCGTGGGATTGCTGGGTCATATAGTAATTCTATTTTTAGTTTTTTAAGGAACCTCCATACTGTTCTCCATAGTGGCTCTATCAAATTACACTCCCACCAAAAGTGCAAGAGGGTTCCCTTTTCTCCACACCCTCTCCAGCATTTGTTGTATGTAGATTTTCTGATGATGCCCATTCTAACTGGTGTGAGGTGATACCTCATTGTAGTTTTGATTTGCGTTTCTCTAATAATTAGTGATGTGGAGCAGCTTTTCATGTTGATGCATCTCTTTTTTCTACCTTTAATGAGAATGTTACTTCTGTTTCACTGTTAAGAATGATCCTTGGTAATTTTTACCTTGAAATTCTTTATCTTACAAAACAAGTTTCTCTTGATGCTTTGCAAGTAAGAATTGTAAAATCATGAATGCATTTTGCATTTCATCAAATGCTTTTTTGATACCTATAAGATGATGGTATTTTTCATTTACTTTGTTAATATTCTGAATTATGTCATTAAATTTTCCAATGTTGAATCATCCTTCCATTCTATTTGGTCATGATGTATTATAATTTTATTATATTGCTGTATTTCGTTGGATAACATTCCATTTTATGCTTTCATGTGTGCTTATAAACAAAGATGGCCTGTAGCTTTATATTTTATTTTCCTTTTTTTCGTTTTGCTATCAGAGATGAGAATATCTTCATCTGAGTAGCTTTCCAACTTTTTCCATACTCTGAGACAATTTGCACAATAAGAGTTAACTGTTTCTTGAAACTTTTCTAGATTCACATATAAAGTGATGTGTCTCCTAGACTTTCAGGGGTCATACTTTGAACCAGCTTCTTATACTGGGGTATTATTCAAGCTTTCTGGTGTTTCTTGGATCCATTTTGGATATGTTTCCTCTCCAGAAAATTATTCTTTTCTCTTATCTTTTGAAAATCTTGCTGTCAAGTTTCTCCTAAGATTCTCTTTTGAGATTTAAAAAATTCTTTTGTGTACTATTTCATTCCTAGTGGTTTATTTTCCCCTTCTTTCTTAGGCTCAGTTATAACCATGGTTTACTGCTATCATTAATTTCTTCCAAGAATAATTTTGGTCATCAGTGTTTGGTGTTGTATGTGTTTTCTTTCATTAACTTTGTCTTTATTCTTTGTTATTGTTTTACTCCTACCTCTTCTTTCTCTTCTTCTATTTTGTAGCTTCTTCAATTGAATGTTTAGTTCATATATTTTCAATCACCCTTCCTTTTCCTTTTGGTATGATGAAAGATATCTGTCTCCTTTAATGCTTTTAACCCTAAACTATATTTCAAAATTTACTTAAATAATTTAAATAAATTAAAAAAAATATTTCACAGAAATTTATAAAAATCATCATAACTTGATGATTTATGACAGTGAGCCATTCTGATGGCTGTGTAACCAGCACCTGCCTTCAGGATAGAATATTCACATTATTCTAGAGACTTCCTCACACCCCCCACTCACAACCTGTCTCTCTCACAAAAGTAACCACTACTCTGACTTCTAACATAGATTACATTGCCTCCTTTTTCTCTTTATATAAATGGAAGCAAAGAATAGGTATTCTTTTGGGTCTGGATAATTTTGCTCAGTATTCTGTTTATAGAATTTTTTTTATATTTTCATGTAGTTCTTGTTTATCTTCATTGCTGTATTGTATTCCATTGTATGAATACACTATAGTGTACTTGACCATTCTAATGTTGACTGGCATTTGAGTTGTTTCCAGTGTTTGGCTACTGAAATAATGTTGTTCTGAACATTCTTGGACTTGACTTTCATTGCACAGACACACACATATCCTAGGCATGAATCAAAGCACATGGGTAAGTTCAGTTTTAGTGGATTCTGTCTAAATAGTTTTTCAAAGTGAATGTAATGATTCCCATTCTCCTTACCAGAGTACAAGAATTTCCACTGTTCACAACAACATCTATTGTATTGTCAATCTTATGAAATTTTAGCCTTTCTTTGAATATGCAATTATATTCCATGGTGGTGTTTTGTTTGTAATTCCCTAGTAACTATTTCCAAACATTAGTTTGCAACCCGTCTCTATTGTATTTTTTCTTAGGTTTTGTTTTCAATACTGACCTGAAGACACGACATTTGGGATACCCACCCAGGGCTGGGTGATTCACTAGACCTCAAGAGGCCAGGGCCAAGTGTCGACCAAGGACATCACAGACTTGCAGGCTAAGCCAGCATCAGTCCTGAGCAAGGCTTCTGCCCAGCGTGGAGTCCCCTGCACACTCAGCAAGCCTAAGAAATATTATCAACTCACTGCATTAAAGTCTACTGGGGGTTCCTGCTGATATACTCCAACCCATTTTTGAAAAAGTAGTGTTTTCCAGCATCCTCACCTATCCAGAACATAAGTAAAAACTTGGGAGTTTCTTCCTTATTAATAAAAGCTATGAAGTCTAAGTCCAACTGGGCCCAGAACCCAAGTTGTAGCATAATGGTATTTCATCCAACCAAAGAAGAGTTTAATGATTTCGATACATACATTGCTTATATGGAATCCCAAGGTGCACACCGAGCAGGCCTGGCCAAGGTAATTCCACCCAAGGACTGGAAAGCCAGAGAGACCTATGATGATATCGATGACATCTTAATAGCTGCTCCCCTCCAGCAGGTGATTTCTGGGCAAACAGGAGTGTTTACTCAATACCACAAAAATAAGAAGGCCATGACCGTGGGTGAGTACCGCCACTTAGCAAAGAGTGAAAAATATGGGACTCCACCACACTTGGATTTTAAGGACCTGGAGCGAAAATACTGGAAAACACGCCCCTATGGTTCACCAGTATATGGGGCTGACGTCAGTGGCTCCTTATTCGATGAAAACACGAAGCAGTGGAACCTTGGACACCTGGGAACCATTCAGGACCTGCTGGAACAGGAGTGCGGAGTGGTCATCGAAGGCGTCAACACCCCCTACCTTTACTTTGGCATGTGGAAGACTGCCTTCGCCTGGCACACGGAGGACATGGACCTTTACAGCATCAACTACCTGCACTTCGGGGAGCCCAAGACTTGGTACGCGGTGCCCCCGGAGCACGGCCGGCGCCTGGAACTCCTGGCCAGGGAGCTTTTCCCGGGCAGCTCGCGGGACTGTGAGGCCTTCCTGCGGCACAAGGTGGCTCTCATCTCGCCCACGGTCCTCAAGGACAACGGCATCCCCTTCGGTCGGATCACTCAGGAGGCTGGAGAGTTCATGGTGACGTTTCCCTATGGCTACCACTCTGGCTTCAACCATGGCTTTAACTGCGCGGAAGCCATCAATTTCGCCTCCCCGCGCTGGATTGATTATGGGAAAGTGGCGTCGCAGTGCAGCTGCGGGGAAGGCCGTGTTGCCTTCTCTATGGACGCCTTCGTGCGCATCCTGCAACCGGAGCGCTACGAGCTGTGGAAACGCGGGCAGGACCAGACCGTGGTGGACCACACGCAGCCCACGGAGCCCAGCAGCCAGGGCCTGGACGCCTGGAGGGAGGTCCCCGCGCCCTGGGGAGCCGCTCTGGGCCTGAGGCACCACCAGCCACGCCGCGCTCGGCGCCCCCGTGGGCCTGTAGCCCTGGACGGTGAGACCCGCCACCGAGTCCCTGTGAGTGCTGTGTCCCGGCGCTCCTCGCCGGCCCGGGGTTCTTGCTCGGCCGCCCAGTTCGAGGCTGAGGCCACCTGCACCTGCGGGGAGCCCGGCCCGACCCAGCCGCCGACCCCAGGTCCGTCTGACCCGGATCGCCACCCAGCTGGAAGATGTGGCCCTCGTCGTCGTCCTTGGGAACAGGGGACTCAGAAGCCAACTGCTCCCCGCAGAGCTAAGAGGAGGCTTTCCTTAGACATAGCTCAGGACCCAGAGGCTCAGCCCCTGCCTGTGGTTGCACCGTCGCCGGACAACGCTGATCCGCTCAGCCCTGGGCTCCAGCATCCCGCCAAGGCTTCTGGGTGTGGTTGTGGCCCTGTCCCCTAAGCCCAGGGGATGCCTTTCTACCCCACTGCTCTTGCGTGGGGATCCTTTGAGACTGGTCGCATTGACATTTCAGAGCTTTGGCTATTGGAACGTCACTAGTCTTGCATGAGTCCCTCCTGTGCTGCCGCTGGACCTGCTGGGTCCGTGGTGCTTACCAAATTCGCCAAAGTTTGTTCTTCCTTCCAGACCCTGGAATCTTTGGACACTGCTAACTCCTGTGTCACAAACTGAGGATTCATGCACTGGACACTCTAGTGTCTCTGGAAACTAGGTCCTGCTGAGGTCGCCAGAGCCCAGTCTACCTCAGACTCCCATCCCGTGGGCCAGCTCTGGATGCTGCTCAACTTCTAAAGAATCCTGGGCTTTGATTAGCCTCCAGTCTCCCTCCTTTTCCTCTTCCCCCTTCCCTTCCCGCTTTTCTTGCCAAACTAGGCCCTTGTGACCAGTTAGGTCAGTAGAGACTCAGATAATAATTGATAATCTTTCTGAGTCTTTGATGTATTTACAATGTGTTCTCTGCCAGTATGGTAACCAGAATGATAAAATCTGACTTTACTAAATATATTAAAGGTAACTGGAATATTAAAATCTGACTTTATTTTGTGTTGTTCATTCAGTCAGCTGAGAGTTGGTCGTTTTTCTTGCACTTTTCTTAATAATTATATCAACACATTTCAAGCAAAACTTATTTTTCTGAGGTTGTTGCCTTGTGTGATGTTGGTGAGTGAGTTTGCGGTTGATTGTTGGGTTCCAGCTGGCTGGGTTGGGGGATTTGGTTTGCAGCCCTATCTGAAGGGAGACTTGGAGGAAATCACCTGGCACTTGGCTGATCCAGGTTGCTAGGAGAGATGAGCAAACACAGGGCAAAAAGTGCCAGCATGTGAAAATCTTCTCTCCAAGTCTCCACTGCCTTCTCAATGCTCTACGTACGTTTCACGTGGTTAAGTCAATGATACATCCCAATAAACAAATCCACAAATAAATGAACAAGACAATTTCAAGTGGGCATATGTTCTGTGAAAAGATTAAAGGGGGTGGGGTGATGGTGCAGAATGGGCGGTGCGGTTCCGGTGGTCAGGGGATACTTCATAAAGCAGGAGACCTTTCTGAGTCCCAAATGACAAGAAGGAAGGTCCAGAGCTGATGTCCACTTGGATAAAACAACAAGTGTAACAGCCCTAACATAGAGCTTGGTGCTTTTGTGTGGATAGAGAGGAAGCTCATTTGTATCTGGGGCTAGAGAAGGGAGAGGCAGCATCTTGTAGCTCATGTTAAATATTTGAGTTTTTTCAGCTTGAGATGAGAAGGCATTGGAAGTTTAAAACAGCACTTGACACGACATAATTTGCATATTTAACTAATCACCTTAATTGTTCTGTGGACCCCTTGGGGGCAGGAGAAGTAGGTAGAACATCTAAGTAATACAGGTGAGAATCGATGGTTACTGACTTAGGCCATAGTGTTGAGAATGCACAGAAGTGGCCAAACTCAGAATAAATTTTGGAAATTGAAAATGATAGTTTGGATGCAGAAGGAAACATTTCAGAGAATCAAACCACATCTCTCTTCCTTCCAGCTGTCCCCTACAGAATTTCAGTAAGATTCTGGAATTTGAAGCACCATGTAAAACTACAGGCAGGAGCACGGAAAAAGTAAGGCTCCTCTGAAGTTCTGATTGAGCAGTAGCAAAAGCCCATGTGTCCTCCCTATCACCATGCAGCTAGGCAACTCTATGGCAGTATATTCTGTGGAAAACTGAAGCTGAGAGACTGAACTCAGGATCCTCAGTGGAGGATGGCAGTGACATGCTTGGCTGAAAAGATGATTAAGCCCTGTATTGAGATGGTGGAACCACATGATGGAAGAAGACTGGAATTACTGGGAAGGCAGCAGCCCTGGAGAGCAACTGGACCATAGTAGATCTCATATGAGCAAGGAGTAACCTTTCATGTGATAAGTAACTGAGATCTTGAGGGCTTTTGGTCCTTTAATTTAGGTCAGTTGTGGATATGGCAGTGCAGAGAAATATGGGAACTCTGAGAAGCCTCTATGAAGACAGTAGCCTGGCTCATATTGCTAGTTTAAATTTTAGAACCTGAAATTTTCCTTGTTACATTCCAGGGATATCACAATCTCTTCCCGGCAGATACACGCTCCAAATAGGCTAGGATAACAAAATTGGGGGTTTTGAAGGAAAAGAAACAAAAATAAATTTCAGAAATATTTCTTCCACTACACTCCTTATGTTATCACTCACTTTTATAGTTGAAACAAAATTTCCTTTGCCCAATAAAAAGAAGCAATGTTAAAAATACAGTTTAGGGGGCTTCCCTGGTGGCACAGTGGTTGAGAGTCCGCCTGCCGATGCAGGGGACGCGGGTTCGTGTCCCGGTCCGGGAAGGTCCCACGTGCCGCGGAGCGGCTGGGCCCGTGAGCCATGGCCGTTGAGCCTGTGCTCCGCGGCGGGAGGGGCCACGGCGGTGAGAGGCCCGTGTACCGCAAAACCAAAAAAAAAAAAAAAAAAATACAGTTTAGTTTTACCAGTACACTGGTTCCTAAATTAGTGTTCTTGACCTAAGTAAGCAGTTTTCAAAAGAAGATTAACAAATGGCCAACAGGCCCATGAAAAGATGTTCAACATCACTAATTATTAGAGAAATGCAAATCAAAACCACACAGGGGTATCACCTCACACCTGTCACAATGGCCATCATCAAAACGTCTACAAATAATAAATGCTGGAGAGGGTGTGGATGAAGGGGAACCCTCTTACACTTTCGGTGGGAATGCAAATTGGTTCAGCCACTATGGAAAACTGTATGGAGGTTGCTTAAAAAAACTAAAAATAGAGCTACCATATGATCCAACAATCCCATTCCTAGGCGTATATTCAGAAAAGACGAAAACTCTAATTCGGAAAGATACATGCACACCAGTGTTCATAGCAGCCTTATTTATAATAGCCAAGACATGGAAACAAACCAAGTGCCCCTCAACAGATGACTGGTTTAAGAAGAAGTGGTACATACATCCCATGGAATATTACTCAGCCAGAAAAAGATGAAATATTGCCACTTGCAGCAGCATAGATGGACCTAGAGAATATCATACAAAGTGAAGTAAGACAGAAAAAGACAAATATATCACTTACATGTGTAATCTCAAAAACAATACAAGTGACCCTATATACAAAAAAGAAACAGGCACACAGACATAGAAAACAAACTTGTGGTTAGGTAAGGGGAAAGGGAGCAGGGGAGGGATAAATTAGGAGTATGGGATTAATAGATACACCCTACTGTACAGAAAACACATAAGCAACAAGGATTTGCAAAGCAAAACAAAACAAAACAAAAATAACACAAGGATTTGCTATATAGCACAGGGAACTGTATTCATTATCTTGTAATAACCTATTATGAAAAATAATCTGAAAAAATATGTATATAACAATCACTTTTCTGTACACCGGCGACTAACACAATATGGCAAATCAAGTATACTTCCATTAAAAAAAAAAATTAGTCTTCTTGAAAGGATCAGGAGCTGGGGGTGGTAATGAAGGGGGTTCATCAAGCAATTCTACTGAAAATTCTATTTTATTTCAAGTCAACCGGCACACTCAGTTTGGATACTCACAATCTGGACCACTCTTCTCAGGAAAAGATGCCCAAATCCAGCGTTCTTCCATGTCCAGTAAGTTTTTGCTATACTTAATCTTGGAAAAGCAAGGGACATTGACAACGACAATTACATAGAGGCAAGGATAAGAGCCACCTTTGTTCTCACTGCCACGATCTCTCCTAGGCCTCTCTCCACTTCTGAAAAATAACAATCACGAGTCCAGTGTATATTCGTCAAGTTTGTAGACAAAAGGCTACGAAACCGAAAGTAGTATGTCGTGTGGTTTTAACAACTTACCCCCACCATCACATTTTAGAAAAGTCAGTATTACAGTTACAAGATCTAAAGACTTTCATATCTATAGTTCCTAGTCAGTTCAACAAAGTCAACTAGATCTGTATAATTTATTTTATTTTGTTCACTCTGCTGACGATGGACAATAGGGTCATTTCCAAGTCTTTGTTATTTCAAACAATGCTTTAGAGAACAGCTTTGTATATAGGATTTCTGGGTTATATTTAGGTTCACTTTTAACTTTTTAGGCAAAGCCAGCTTGCCCTCCAATTTCCACCTCTATTGGCAGTGTGGGAGAGTTCTGGTTTCTCCATATCTTGACCCACTTTTTTATATTGTCAGACCTAGTCAAAATGGGCAGAGAATAGCTTCTCTGATTGCTAGGGATCCTGCACATCTTCTTGTATTTACTGGCCATTTGGATTTCCTCTTTTCTGAGTTACTTATTCTAAAGCTCTGCCTACTTTTTTTGGTTTGACTATTTTTTGTTGTTGTTAATGTAGAAGTTATGTGATATTCAGAATACTAATTCATTGTCTATTTCATGTATGATGACAAACTTCTCCTAGACTGTAATTTCTTTTAATTTTTGACATCATTGTATTAGTCGGGGTTCTTCAGAGTAATAGAACCCATAGGAGATATATGTATAGCTCTTAGTAGGGGAACTCATTCATTTGGTTATGGAGGCTGAGGAATCCCACGATCTGTCAGATGGGCCGTCTGCAAGATGGAGAGCGGGGAATATGGCTGGGTCTGGGTTCGAAAGCCTGGGAACCAGGAGTGCCCATGTCAGATGTCCCAAAGCAAGAGAAGACGGATGCCTCTGCTCAAGCAGAGAGTAAATTCACCCTTCCTCTGCTCTTTTGTTGCATTTGGGCTCTCAGTGGTTTGGGTGATCCCAGCTGCAGTGGTGAAGGTGATCTTTACTCTGTCTACTGATGCAAGTGCTAATCTCTTCCCGGAACAGCCATGCACAACACACAGAAGTAATGCTTTACCAGCTATCTGGGCATCTCTTAGCCGAGTCTACATGTGAAATTAACCATTAGAGTCATTAGTTTGGAATCATTTAAATATATCCGACATTCCCATCATGGTACTTTTGGTTCTCTAAGACATTGTTCCACCCTGAGTTCATAAAGACATTCTTCAGTATTTTCTCTTAAAATTCTATGCTGTATCCGTCTGTAATGCACCTCAAATTTATTTATGTAAGTGGTATGCGGTCAAGCTCCAATTCTACCCCCGCCCAATAGTGCGAATGCCACTACCACATATTGAATAGCCCATCCTTACCCATTGGTTTGGTACACTACCTCCATCATAGGCAGACTCCCACATATCGATCCATGTGTCTGTGTCTGGCCTCTCTATTCTGTACGTAGATATATTTGTCCATTGCGGCTCAAATATCACAGTTCGGTGGAGGAGAAGTCACCCCTCTTTGTTCTTCTTTTAAGGAATCATCTTGGAGATTCTTGCTTGAATACTTCCCTACTTACTAGATCTGTCACCTTGAGCAAGTTTCTTAATATCTCCTTGATGCGGTTTCCTCATATGAGAAATAGGGTTCATAGGATTTCCCTTATAGGGTCACTATGAAGATAAGGCATAAATAAATTCTTCTATGCAGAGTGCATTGAACAGTGTCTGGCATTAGATAGTCATCATATATTAGCTTTTTTTTTTTTTTTTTTTTTTTTTGCGCCGACGCGAGGGGTCCCGGGAGCCATCCTAAGGGCCAGGACGCGATTCGGCCGCCAGGCTCCACACGGGGTCTCACCGCCAGAGGCCTCCAGCGCAGGGGCGGTCCCGAAGCACCCAGGACGCAGACTGGCCTCCTCGAACCCCCCGCCAGGGGTCCCCGTCGCGAGGCTCGGGACCACCACCGCCAAACACCCACGAGCCGCGGCCGGCCCGCGACAACACTCTCCCGCGCGCACACCGGCCGCCACGCCGGTCCCACACACACCTCCGCCGGGCCCGACTCCCCCGCCTCGGGAACCGTGAGCACTCCACCCGAGGACGCCGCCGGCCGAGGCGGCCAGGGGGGCGACACCCTCACGTGGACGAGGCCGACTCGGTCCCAGACGGGGAAGGGGGCGCGGAGGGGTCGGGGCGGGAGAGGGCCGGCGGCGACGGGGAGGTGGCGGCACGAACACACGGCGAGGGCCGCGGGGCAGGGGCGCGGGGCGCTGCCCAGGGAGAGGAAGGGCCGAGACACGACCGGGCCAACAGGAAAACAAGCGCGGGGTCCCACCGCCACACACACGAGGGCGGTCCCACGACGCCTGAGACGCCGGCCGGCCCCAGCCACCCTGGGGCCTCCCACGACCCGGCCCCGCCGCCAGGGCCCGCGTGCGACGGTCCCCCCGCGTGGCACGGAGGGACCCGTCCACCCAAACTCAACCTCTCCGTCCTCGCCAGATCCGCCTTCATCTAAGTCCGACCCCCGGGGCTCGCGCCCCAGGGAAACGCTCCCGAGCGAGGCGACCCGCACCGTGCCCACACACCGCCAACGGCTGCGACTCGCGGTGAGGGCAGGCGCGACGGGCTACTCGTGGCTGCGGGACTGGGAAGCCGGGACATCCGGGCGTCCCCGCCCCCTTGGGCTCGCCACCTGGGTCACCGCACGCGCACGCACACACGCACGCGCACGCGCAGCCCCGCGCCGGACGCAGGCCTGGCGGGACCCTCCCCCGAGTCAGAGGCTGGAGGCGCGGCCCGCGGTACGCCAAGAACGACGCTCGGCCACACCGCTGGGCCGGCGCAAGCCCTCCCGCGAAGGCGAGGGGCTCTGCCCACGTTGTCTGGCAGTCGCCACCGTGACCACTGCACGCTTGAGAGGGGCAGCGGCTGGGGGTCCGGTACCCCAAGGCTGCCTCTCGGATCGCTAGAGAAGGCTTTCTCACCGACGGTGCGTCATCCCCCACCCATCGTCTCTCCCCTTTGGGCCCACGGAGGCGCTCCACGAGCCGCCAAGTCCACGACTGGGCGGGGGTTGGGCGGGTGGGTCTGCGGTATGGGTAAGCACACGGCCCACAGGAGCGTTCGCCTCCGGGCTCGTCCATCGGGTTCCGGAATGAGGGAGCATGCCCGAGAAGAGCGACAGACCCCCTTCTCACAGGCCCCGGCCCAATACGATCGCACCCACGCCCGCGTGCGATTCCCCCCCGCCAAAAGTGGTGGCGTTCACCTGGCCACAGTCAGTCCCCCCAACAGCACACCGTGGGAGGATGATGGCGACGAGGCGGCACCTGTCCCCCACCGAGGGAGAGAAACAGAGGCACGCCTCCCTTTACCCTCTCGACCTCCCCAGGAGAGCCACTCATGGGACACACCACCGCAGCCTGGACCCGAGGAGCACGCTGGGAAAAGGGAACGACACCACCGCTTGGCCTCCGGCACCTGAGGGACGACCTGGAGCACTCCAGGGGCACCACAGAGGACCAAGCAAGGCACGCTCACGCGCCAGCAGGGGCGCGCAGCGCAGCGGCAGGACGGCCACCCCCCCCCCCCCTCCACCAACGCGGGGAGGACCGCTCAGGAGGCCCAGGCCAGTGAGGTGAAGCTAGAGTGTCTTCTGCGTCCCAGGACCACGGCCCCGCCCACGCCGTGAGGCAGCGTGCGGGAGACCGAGGGTCAGGGCTGGAGACCATCACCCCTGCCTTCCACACACCCCTCGACAGGCCGGGAGGGCGTGACAAGAGAGACGATGGGCCCGCGGACAGAACAAGAAGAGTGGTCCCGTTTGCCAAGAATGTCCGTCCCTTGTCTGGCGTAACTTAGGCCCGGGCCAGGAGAGTGGGACATCACCACATGGATCACTCAATATTAGATTTTTTTTTTTTTTTTTTTTGCGGTACGCGGGTCTATCACTGTTGTGGCCTCTCCCGTTGCGGAGCATAATCTCCGGACGCGCAGGCTCAGCGGCCATGGCTCACGGGCCTAGCCGCTCCGGGGCATGTGGGATCTTCCCAGACCAGGGCACGAACCCTTGTCCCCTGCATTGACAAGAGGACTCTCAACCACTGCGCCACCAGGGAAACCCAATATTAGCTATTTTTAATAATATTCTGTTAGAGGTACAGAGAAACTTCTATTGATCAAAAAAAAATTGAAAAAGAGAGTGAAAAGACAAATCAAAGAGTGAGAACAGATATCGTGTTACTCATACCCAGTAAAGAACTAATAAGCAGAACATATAACTACCACCAAGACAGACAACCCGGCAGAAAAATGGACAAAATACTTGATGAGGCACTTCCTGAAGGAGCACCTCCAATCAGCCAATAATCATCAGAAAAATTGGTTCACTCCTATTAGTAACCAAGTAAATGCAAATCATTATGAGGTACCCCTGTGCCCTCACCTGATCGGCTAAAACTGAAAAGGCAGAAAATCACCAAAGGTTTGCAGAAGTGAAGGGTGATGAGCACCCTTGCGTGCAGCTAGTGCGTAAACTGGTAAAATGTGTTGAAAAATTTTGGCAAGTTTAAGTTTACATATTCTATGGCCAGTATACACGTCAGAGAATTTTCAGAGCAACGCTGTTTGTGAGAGGCCCAAAGTGGAAGCAACCCAAAGCCCCATCAACAGTAGAAAGTTTATATGGTTGAATACTTTACAGCACTGAAACAGAAAAGTCCAGCTGCATGCAAGGGCATAAGTGATGAAAAACTACACCAAAAATACGCTAACGGACATAAATACAATTGTGTTTCTTCAAGGTTATATAAAGTTTTCAAAAATGGACAGAGTTTTAATTTTATAATGTTTACCAAAATTACTATGTGAATAGTTAGGATAAGGTCAGTCCAGGAGGCAGAAGGGGCTGTAATCTGGGCAAAAGAGCACAAGTCAGGCTGCCTGGCAATGTTGCATTTTTTGACCTGGGTCGTGGTTCCACTTCTGCTCACTCTATAGTTATTTGTTGAAGTGTACATGTATGCTTTATAGATTTCTGTGAACACTTTATATTTCATAATTTAAAATATTTTAAAAAGTGCTCTAAAAGATTATGTCACATAGTGGTTCATAGAATCATTTGGTTTATAATGTGCTGTATCGTAGACTGTTTCCAAAACTCAGATTATGTTTCAATTTTTTTCATTCTAGTATTGTTTATTGATGCCTTCTCCTGTTTATTTACAATATTATATTTAGTAATACCTAAATTTTTGGGCAGTTTTAGATTTACAAAGCATTGAGCACGTGGATCAGGGAGTATTGACCCGACCCCACTCCCATGTCCCCCTATTAGTAACATCTTAATTCCCATGGTATATTGATGACAATTAATGAACCAATGTCAATATGTTATTGTCTACTAAAGGCTATCATTGGTTCAGATTTCCTCACCTTTTACCCAACATCCTTTTTCTGTTCCAAGATCTCATGTAAAATATCAAAGTACATTTAGTTTTCATGTCTCCTTAGGTTTCTCTTGGCTGTAACAGATTCTCAGACTTTCCTTGTTTTTGACCAAAAGTTTGTATAGACACCTGACAATCTGGGGGAATGCTGGTCAGGTATATTGTAGGATGCCCCTCTATTGGAATTTGATGCTTTTCTTATGATTATCTTGGGTTTCTCTGTGTTTTTGGAGGAAGATTACGGAGGGAATTTTGTCACATTTTAATCACATCATATCAAGGACATATACTATCAAAGTAATTTATGGCTTTTTTTTTTGGCCACGCCTCGCAGTTTGTGGGATCTTAGTTCCCTGGCCAGGGATCAAACCTGGGCCCTTGGCAGTGAAAGCGCAGAGTGCTAACCACTGGACTGCCAGGGAATTCCCAGTTTATAACTCTTGATGTTGGCCTGGTTAAAATGGTGTTTGGCAGGGTCCAGCTCTATAAAATGACTACCCCTCCCCGAGTCCCATCACCACTTGCCACTCTGCACCAGCTTCTCACACGCAGGGAGCACTCTTTTCCTGTAGCAGGGAGTACTATATAATTTATTAACCGGTTCTTTCTTTATTTTATTTTTTAAGTTACAGACTTCTATTTTATTAATCATTTATATTTTTGTATATGGTTGTTTTCCCTTTTGTTTTTTGAATTGTTTTATCATTTTTATCTTTTTTGTCTTGCAAATAATTCTGAGGTATTTTGGTTTAGTTTTTACTAACTACTTGCAGACAACATAAAAATCAATAGATTTTTAGCTATTATATGGATATTGTTGTAGATGTTCTGTGGATACTTATTTTTAAATAAATATGGTGGTGTTCCCTTTTTTCATTATTGACTTCCAATTTTATTTCATGATTGAAATAATAGATTGATCAAGATGGTACTCAATACGTTGATTCTAAGGAATTTTCATTGAGATTTATTATGTGGTCTTAACAGAGGTAAATTTTTGTAAATGTTTTATATGTGTTGAAGAGCATTTTGCTATGTGGTTGCTGTAGGAAATATAATCAAAGTTTTTAACTTAATTTTTTAAACTTTTATAACATTATTTTCTTCTCTCCTCATGTATCAGTTTCTGGAAGAACGGTGTTTGAAAAGAAAAACAAAAAACCTCACACCATGATTGCAAATATGTCAGTTTTACGTTATAATTCTCAGTCTTTGTGTTCTATGTCTCAGTGCTATGTGTCTAGGTGCGTAAAGTGCATCATTGTAATCTTTCCCACGAGTTTTTCTTTTTCATAACTATAAGGTGCCCTTCTTTTACCTTATAAATACATTCGATATTAATTGCTGCTAGACCAGGTTTCTTTTGTTTAATATTTGCTTGGTTTGACTTTCCCACTTCTTTTATTTTCAACCCCTTATTTCTCTGTAAGATTGGTTTAAAAAATCAAAAGTGCGCAGACCAAGTGGGCTGACCAACGAGAGCAATTACCGTTGACTGGTGCTGATCAAATTATACCTTTGCCCAGGTAGCAAGCCAGAGCCGTCAGGACAGGGTCTGCATTTGGAGGCCAGCTACCCAGAGAACACTGTCTCTCTCTCTGGGTCCTTGAATATCTCCAACTGGAATTAGGATTTTGTTGGTAGAAGATAGGTCACTTTATTTCTGTAATTTGTGCTTATGAGCAAAACAGTTATTTTCCTACCAGAAGTTTTAAAAAAATGAAACTATTTATGCATATATAGAGAGAGAGTGAGAGAGAGGGTACTATACATTTGGATATCCTTTTATGAGTTTTTATTTTTAAACTGTTTTCCAACTTGTGAAGTTAATTGTTTTCTTAATATTTTCTTGGTAAAAATCATAAAGATTTTCAGGAAAAAGCACCTCATTTAGTGAACTGCGATCTAATGGGAATGAGAGGGTTTCTAGAAGTGGGTAAGGAGTGTGTCAATTGGAAGGGACTTGTAAAATATGTGGGATCAAATTAGAGATTTTGATTCGATATGAGGGTATTAGATTTGGGGTGGTACTGATTGAATTGAGATTGGTGTGGGACATATATAGCCAGCCTTTGACACAGCCTGTTTCATTCAGAGGCTGAATCCTTCAAGGAAACCATTTTCTGGGTCCTGTGTATCATCATTTGGAATTAAGATTTTAGACTGGCAGAAGGCAGGCACTTTTTTTTTTTTTTTTTTTTAAAGCATAAAGATGAAAAGGATGACACTTTATACCAGAAAGCAACTTTTTTTCCCTGGTAAAATTCCCATTTATTTATGCATTTAAAGTACAAGCATTGCATTCATATCATTTTTAGATTTCTTCATTGGGGCCATGTATTTCTGTTAGTAAAGGGATTAAAACCATTTTACTCTTTCACTTTATAATTGATTGTTAACTGGTGTATGGGATCTATAGATTTTGTTTGCTAATCAGTGTCTAGAAACTTGGTTGAACCCTATATTTCTTTTTTTTCTTTTAACATCTTTCTTGGAGTATAATTGCTTTAGAATGGTGTGTTAGTTTCTGCTTTATAACACAGTGAATCAGTTATACATATGTGCCCCTATCTATTCCCTCTTGCAACTGCCTCCCTCCCACCCTCCCTATCCTGCCCCTCTAGGTGGTCAAAAAGCACTGAGCTGATCTCCCTGTGCTATGTGGCTGCTGCCCACTAGCTATCTATTTTACATTTGGGAGCGTATATATGTCCGTGCCACTCTCTCACTTTGTCCCAGGTTACCCTTCCCCCTCCCATATCCTCAAGTCCATTCTGTAGTAGGTCTGCATCTTTATTCCCATCTTGCCCCTAGGTGCTTCATGACAAGTTTTTTTTTTTAGATTCCATATATATGTGTTAGCATACGGTATTTGTTTTTCTCTTTCTGACTTACTTCACTCTATGTGACAGGCTCTAGGTCCGTCCACCTCACTACAAATAACTCAGTTTCATTCCTTTCAATGGCTGAGTAATATTCCATTGTATATATGTGCCAAATCTTCTTTATCCATTCATCCTGTTGATGGACACTTAGGTTGCTTCCATATCCTGGCTATTGTAAATAGAGATGCAATGAACATTTTGGTACATGACTCTTTTTGAATTATGGTTTTCTCAGGGTATATGCCCAGTAGTGGGATTGCTGGGTCGTATGGTAATTCTATTTTTAGTTTTGTAAGGAACGTCCATACTGTTCTCCATGTGGCTGTATCAATTTACATTCTCACCAACAGTACAAGAGGGTTCCCTTTTCTCTACACCCTCTCCAGCATTTACTGTTTGTAGATTTTTTGATGACGGCCATTCTGACTGGTGTGGGATGATATCTCAGTGTAGCTTTGATCGGCATTTCTCTAATGATAAACGATGTTGAACATTCTTTCATGTGTCTGCTGGCAATCTGTATGTCTTCTTTGGAGAAATGTCTATTTAGGTCTTCTACCCATTTTTGGAGTGGGTTGTTTGTTTTTATAATGTTGAGCTGCATGAGCTGCTTGTAAATTTTGGAGATCAGTCCTTTGTCAGTTGCTTCATTTGCAAATATTTTCTCCCATTTTGAGTGAACCCTATATTTCTAATAATTTGTGTATCAATGCAAATTAGTGATTAGATATTAATTAGAATGTTTCAAGTATTTACACATTAAGGATAATGCTTGTTAAGGATGTGTCTATTTGTGTTGTGTACTTTTTTCCTGCTTTTGTTTACATAGGCACTCTTTCTATAGTGGTAGATTTTTATCTGCGTCCCCTGTTTTATTATAACGTGATATGCTTGTACTTTTCTCTCTTTTCTCTTATGCTTATGTTTTTACACTTTTAATGGTCTGCAAATTGCATTTTGGTTTCAGTCATCATTTCTATTGGGTGTTATGTTTTCTTTTGTAATTGTTTCAGCTTATATCATTGTTTTCCGTTCCCTAATTTATCTTTTGGGTTAAGCCATCCAATTTCTTGAGTTGAGTGCTTAAGTCCTTTCTTTTCAAGCTTGCTTAATGTCCTTACTGTTCAGTTAGATATTCCTCTTTTTCTGTCTTATGATTTGTCCTAATTCTTTATTTTTAAATTTCAGCTTGATTGCTGTATAATTGACTTTTAAAATTGTAAAATATTCAGTCAACTTTGTGGTGATTTGATATACATTGTGAAAGGATTCCCCCCATCTAGTTAATTAACACATTTCCTTCATATATTTACTTTCTTTGGTAAGAACATTTAAATCCTACTCTTCTGGAAAATTTCAACTATACATCACATTGTTATCAACTATAATCACCATGGTTAACATTAGCTCCTGAGACTTTATTCACTGTGTACCCTTTTACCCTCCCTTCCCTGCCCTCCCCCACAACCACTTTTCTACTCTGGTTCTGTAAGTTTTACTCCTTTTTTTTTAACATTCCACATATAAGTGATACCATGCCATATTTGTCTTTCTCTGTCTTATTTTACTGGACAAAATACCCTCCAAGACCAACCATATTGTTGCAAATGACAAAATTTCATTCTTTTTATGGCTGAGCAGTATTCCATTGTATCTATGTACCACATCTTCTGTATCCATTCAACCATCGCTGGACATGTTGGCTGTTCCCATATCTTATCCATTGTGAATGTGGGAGGGCAGATATCTCCTTGATATTCTGTTTTTATTTCCTTTAGCTATATACCCAGAAGTGAGACTGCAGCATCATATGGTGGTTCTATTTACAATTTTTGAGGAACCTCCATACTGTTTTCCATAGTATGCACCATAGCTGTACCAGTTTACATGCCTACCACAAGAGTGTACTTTTTGCCGTTAAATTCAAACTTTGAAATTAAGATTGTTATACAGTTTTCTTTTATTTGATGTTAAATCAGTTTGTTTTGTCATCCACTTATTTTCAATATTTTGTACTTTCTTTAGGCTTGGCTTGGAAACTTCCATGAAGAGACTTTCTGCTACAGTGAGGTGAGAAGCCACCCATGCGCTCAAGCCTGGGAATCTGGAGAGGTCTCAGGCACTTATACCCCCAACAGAGGAAACTCACAGAGCTGCAGGCTGAGGCAGGACTTGGCTCAGAGAGGCGTCTCCTCTGGGAAATACTGGATTTCCTTTGGCTCCACAATGCTGACAAGAGTGGAATCCTTCTGGTGGATTGACAAGCCTGGAGAAGATACCACCTCGTTTGTTTAAAAGTTCAAGTCTGAGTTCCTGCCTCTCAGCTCTATCAAAACTTCTTTAAAAATAAAGGAAGTATAGGGAAGAGGTTACTCCCCAGCATTCTCAGGTATCCAAAGCATACCTAAGAAGCTGGCAGTCCGTTGCTTATTCTGTTGCCGCCATGCAGTCTAAGCACTTTGGGAGCCAGAACCCAAGTTGTAAGATTACGATCCTCCACCCCAAAATGGAAGAATTTGAAGATTTCAGCAAATATATTGTTTACGTGGAGTCGCAAGGTGCACACCGAGCTGGCCTAGCCAAGGTAATTCCACCGAAAAGATGGAAAGCCAAACAGACGTACAGTGATATCGATGACATCTTAATAGCCGCTCCCCTGCAGCAGGTGACCACTGGGCCGGCAAGTGTGTTTACTCAGCACCACAAAAAGAAGAAAGCCATGACCGTGAGCGAGTATCGCCGCTTAGCAAACAGTGAAAGACACCAGACTCCATTCTATTCTGATTTTGAGGATTTGGAGCGAAAATATTGGAAAACACGCCCCTATGATTCACCAGTATATGGTGTGTACGTCAGTGGCTCCTTATTCGGTAAAATCCTGAAACAGTGGAACCTTGGACACCTGGGAACTATTCAGGACCAGCTGGAACAGGAGTGCGGAGTGGTCATCGAAGGCGTTAACACCCCCTACCTTTACTTCGCATGTGGACGACCGCCTTCACCTGGCACACAGAGGACAGGGACCTTTACAGCATCAGCTACCTGCACTTCGGGGAGCCCAAGACTTGGTACGCGGTGCCCCCGGAGCACGGCCGGCGCCTGGAACGCCTGGCCAGTGAGCTTTTCCCAGGCAGCTTGCGGGGCTGTGAGGCCTTCCTGCAGCACAAGGTGGCTGTCATCTCGCCCATGGTCCTCAAGGACAACGGCATCCCCTTCTGTCGGGTCACTCAGTTGGCTGGAGAGTTCATGGTGACGTTTCCCTATGGCTACCACTCTGGCTTCAACTGCGCGGAAGCCATCAATTTTGCCACCCAGCGCTGGATCGATTATGGCAAAGTGGCCTGGGAATAGGGCTTTGCATGACCATTGGAAAGATCTTCGTCAGAATAAGGGAGATTTCAGGTGAGCACTCTTAGGATGTTAAAAATGGGTGGTTGGGTGGGGACTCTAAAAGGGACATATAATTACCAGCTGCGAAGGGACTTGGATGTTAGAATAGTAACATTAACACCAGAGCTTTTTAAGGTACTGAAATTGTGTGTGTGTGTGTGTGTGTGTGTGTGTGTGTGTGTGTGTGTGTGTGTCTTCTGTTTTCCTGAAGCAATATGGAATGGAGACTTTGTTTTCTTGGAGCAGCACGGAAATAGGAAGGCAGAGAGGCTTTATCTTCCTTTCCAGCCAGGCTTGGAGATGGAACAATAAGAAGAGTGTGGCCATGAAGAGGTGAGGAAGATGGGCCGTGTCCCTGGCATGCACTGTAGAGAAGAAAACAGACTTGGGGAGGTTGGCATTGTCACCAGACTGTGAGGCCCCCTTCCCTGGCCCCTCTCCAGAGCTGCAGAAGCTTTCCTTCCCCATCATGGCAGAGAGGGTGACCCCCAGGGGAAGCTGACTCTGTCCATTATGAAGTTTTGTCCTTGGTATGGGAAATTCCAGAAAGGCTATTACTCTGGATAGTAATAACAATTCTCTATTCAGTTCTCCTTCCCTATCACCTTCCCTGCAGCCTCTTATTTTTCTTTTAATGGCGAAGTAAATAAATGTGATGCTGTTGATGTGGTTTTGTGTTGTCCCTCCATCCACAAACTCAGTCTATCCATGGACCCCCTCTGTATGCGTATGTGCAAAGTTGAACCTGAAGCGTGATGTCTTTCGTAAAGCAAACTTTTCCATAGTCACTGCTTTGAGCTTTCCAGCAGTTACTTAGAGGGGAGAACTGGACTTAGAGTCAGCAGAAATGGCATTCAAACCTGCGCTTTGCTACTTTCTAGTCGTGGGACCTTCAGCAAAAAAAATCATTGATATTCTCTGAGCCAGAATTACAGTGCGAGAATTTTGTGAAGATACTGGGGATGTAAATGTGACAGGCGTGTAAGAGGTGCTCAGTTACTTTGATGTGCATTCAGACACTCTCCTGGCCTCTAGGGCCAGCCCAATGCCTAGGACATCCGCTCGTATTCTTTCTCTGATGCTCAGTTCTACTGTTTTCCTAACCACACCCCCAGGCTTACACGTTACTTTTCTTTTAATTAATAGACTTTAATTTTGCAGAGTACTTGGCAACAAAATTAAGTGGAAAATACAGAGGATTCCAACATAGTCGTTCCCAGGCTCCTCCACCAGCATCCACACCAGAAAGGAACATTTGTTACAATCGAAGAACCTGCACTGACACCTCATTATCACCCAGAGTCCTTAGTTTCATTTATTCACTCTTGGTGTTGTACGGTCTATGGATTTGACCAATGTATAATGACATGTGTCTACACTTATAATACCATACAGAATAATTTCATTGCCTAAAAATCCTCTGTGCTCTGCCTAATCATCCCCCCTCCCCCCCGATAACCACTGATCATTTTACTGCTTCCATAGTTTTGTCTTTTCCAGATGACTTCTTTCTCGTAGTAATATGCCTTTAAGTTTCCTCTACGTTTAGTGGTTTTATAGCTCATTTCCTTGTATTGGTGAATAATATTCCACTGTATGATGTATGACCCTTTATTTATCCACTCACGTGCTGAAGGACATCTTGGTTGCTTCCAATTTTTTCTGCAATTATGAATCCAACTACTATAAACCTTTGTGTGCAGGTTTCGGTGTGGATGTAAGTTTTCAGCTCCTCTGAGTAAATACCAAAGAGTGCGACTGCTGGATTGTATGGTGAGACTATATTTAGTTTTGGAGGAAACTGGCAATTTTTTTTTTTTTTTTTTTTTTTTTTGCGGTACGCAGGCCTCTCACTGCTTTGGCCTCTCCCGTTGTGGAGCACAGGCTCCGGATGCGCAGGCTCAGCGGCCACGGCTCACGGGCCCCGCCGCTCTGTGGCATGTGGGATCTTCCCGGACCGGGGCACGAACCCGTATCCCCTGCATCGGCAGGCGGACTCTCAACCACGGCGCCACCAGGGAAGCCTTGACAATTATTTTTACAGGTAGAAAACTGATCTTTTTTTTTGCTCATGATCTACCGCATGTTTGCACAAAAGGTCACACATATCCATTTAAAATTCCACTCCTTGTCGTATTTGTCCTTGTTGCAGTGTTACAAAGGCAAGTTAAAGATTTCACAATCAGTCAAGAGCCAGAGGACCCAGCCTTTATTCAGACTCCTACACCGGCTTGTTTAGTAGTCTTTCAACAAATCAGGTTTCGATGGCTCTCCACTTGCCAGTTTAGGAAAAGTGAGCTCTTAGCCACATTGCACCTCTGTTAGAGTTTGCACATAACAAGTTCAGATCAGGGCAAACATAATTGGTACTAAATAAATATTACCTATTATCACTATTACTTAGGAGCCCAAAGTTTTAAGATGGACATTAGAACCTGTACTTAAACGAATCTTGCAGAGGTTGGAGTTCGGGTCTTGGGACTCCTCTAAGATTTGTATAAAGGGTCAGTTATGGATCTGTCTGACTACCTGGCCACAGTGAATTATTCGTAGAGATTAACCATTACACCAATTCAGTTTCTGTGTGGTGTGTAAGGATTCCTTTCCAGATATTTGGAAATAACTTCACCATTATATTTATGTCATTAGATTGTGACCATATATGGGTCTTGAAGTCGCTTTTTGCCCCAATGTTTGTGTTACCTTTCCTCACTTTAAATAGGAAAGCACAAACAGTTGGTAGGAATTGGCTACCGAGATAAGTGGAATGGACACTGATGTGAGTTGAACAGATCCTGGTGAGGAGCAGCCCTTGCCCATCCCGCTCTGCTCACCAGCAGCTCAAACTGAAATGCCTCCCAAGCTCCTTGTCATTGACCTGCAGTGATTACAGGGTAATAGTGAGACCCTTCTCACTGTTCCTCAGCAAGTGGTGGGTGTTAGGGGGATAAGCAGTTTCAGGGAGGACAGAGGAAGGGCAGAACTGAGCCCTGTTGGGCATGGGTAACATGTTGGAGGTGCCACTCAATGAAAATGCAACATTTGTGTGACAGGGTTTCTGGATTTTTCTAGGATCCTGGCATCCAGTATCCTCGTGCCCTAAATGTTCAGGCCCCTCTACCTAAAAAAGAGCTATGTCCAGGCCTGTAGACCTCAGAGAGCATCTTTTCTTTGTCCCATCTCTCAGAGAACCTCTTCTTAAAAGCTTCACATGGTGTCTATATATTTCAGTGCTCGTTCACTCACTTATTATTTAATTCATTCATTCAGCACATGTTTGCTAAACACTTACCGTGTACCAGGCACTGTTTGTGGAATTGGGGGCACAACAGTGAAAAAGGCAAAGTTTCAGTTCTCCTGGAGCTTATATTCTCATTATAAAGAGAGACATAACAAGTATAAAGAGAGACATAACAGTCATAAGGGCTAGGAGAAAAAATAAAGCAGAGTTAGGGGTTAGAGAGTGACAGGACTGCTATGTCGGAGAGGGTGGCCTCTTGGGAGTGTGGTCTTCGAATGAGCACTGTGGACAAGGGAGTGAGAGCATCATTCTAGGCAGAGGGACAACACATGCAAATACCTGCGGTGGGGGCACCCTTAAGGGGCTCACAGAGTAGCAAAGTGGCTGGAGAGCAGGAGAGAGGCGGCGGGAGCTGAGGCGGGGGGAAGGAATAAAATGTCCTAACTCAGTAAATGCAAACTCCTCCCACTGAGTGATTGGGGCTATTGGTGTTTTAGGTGACCTGGGGATGGAGAAATTTGTGGGCCACAGAGTCTTTGAAAGCACGGATAATTCACAGCCATCCCTGGAAATGGCTCTATCGTTCCTACCAGATGCAAATCCCGAGAGCAGAATGTCTGTATGTTCTCGTTTCCTGCTGTACCAGCTGACATGTCACGTTTCTGACTTGTATTGCATTAGGTGGGACTTTAACAGAGCCAGCAGATCACTGACATTCACTAAGTTGACAACAGCCATCTCAGCTATGTATGAGCAACAGCAAATCAATGCAGTCAGTATTTTGGAATTGTGCTGAGGCCCATATTCACATAATGTGGAGGGCAGTGAAGGCATCTCCTCAGGAGACTTCAGGAGAAATCCTCTGGAAAACCAGCTACCAGGGGAGAGATCAGGTGTGAGAGTTGAACGGCCTATAGATTTAGAATTTGAGGCTATGCATGGGAAATCCTGGCGCCAGAGACGGATAATTTTTAGGAAAGAGCTAGGATTAAGAATTTGCAAAGAAAGAGCTTAGGATCCATTCCCTGGGAATGTCAAGGGTCTATTGCATAAGTTTCTTTTTCCTTAGAAACTCCTTAGTAACCCGGTGACCTAACCTCAGCTCGCTTGTGGTATATCACCTTGACTGTACTTACACACGACCCTCTAGGACCCTGAGTACTTCATTAACCTATGGTTTAGCTCATGCATTGAACCAGATTAAAACAGTTGATAATTATCTTTCTTGGCTTTCTCTGTTTAGTGAGGACTCAGTGAATATTGTCGATTGAGTGAATGACTTGAAACCACCAATAGAAATGAAAAAAAGAGCTAGTATCATAAGAAACACCTAAAATAAATAAATAATTCCTATTACAGCATAATTGCTCTCATGTTAATTGTCTTTTAAAATAAGATATCACTTTCTCAGCTAGGGATTGAAATAACTTACAGAGCCAGATAATAAACTCTGTTTCTCTTATTCCAATATGAGACCTTCATTCATTGACTCCACAAATATTAAGCACCCTCACCGTGCCAGGCTAGTCCTACATGCTAAGGAAACATAGTATGACGTTTATGGTCTGCTTGGAGACAGACAGGCATTTAGGCAGTTTCACCACGCCACAGCTTCTTCCCAGCTACCATAACCATAGCCAGGCTCTCCCCCAAACTGCTGGTTTTAGATCCTCTGAGAAAAGGTGTCTTTTACTGGGAACAGTCAGCTCAAGTTCAGGGCCAAAGCCTCTTGGGGCTCTCAGAGCTGTTTCAGTCTGTTCTTGGGCTCATGGCAGCTCTCTTGTTCACTTTTCTCAATCGTACCTGACAAATGGGCACAGGTCACCTTTTGGGAGAATGATGCCTACTCCGGGCATTCCTTTTTTACCACGTGTGCAGGGGGATGGGACTGACTTTGAATGCTCCCACTGGCTGCTTCACTCTAGGAAGTGAGTGTGGCTTACTGTCAAATCCCTCCCTTCCTCCACTCATGACATTGATATTCCTTGGCTCCTTTAGGGAGCCTGGTCATCTCAATACCATTTCCTGTGTTCCATTCCATTTTCCCACCATCTCCCCCCTTGCTATGGACCGAATGTGTCCTCCTTAAATTCATATGTTGATACCTTAATCTCCAGTTAGGGATTTGCAGGTGGGGCCATTGGGAAGTAATTAGATCATGAGGGTGGAGCCCTCATGAATGAGATTAATGCCCTTCTAAAAAGAGAGACGATTATCCTCTTCAGCATGTGAGGACGCAGCAAGAAGGTGGCTGTCTGTAAACCAGGAAGAGAACCCCCACCAAGAAGCTGACCATGCTGGCACCCTAGTCTTGGACTTCCTGCCTCCAGAACTGTGAAAAGAAAATGGTGCTCAATCCCCCCACTTTATGGTATCTTGTGATAGCAGCCCAAATGGATAAAGACACCCCCGTAACTGCTTGTCTACAGTTCACACTGGCTACTCTAGGAGAAAGGTAAAAACAAGTAGGCTAGAGACAGGAAACGTGGTTACCATATTATGAGGGTCTACAATGTGCCAAGAACCTGACTTCCAATTTGTATACATCGTGCACTTTTCTTTCCAGAAGCTCAGTCTGTAGAGTCGGGCAGATGGAGATTGGAAGCCCAGCTCTGCCTTTTGCTAGGGTGACTGGCAAGTGACTCAGCACTCTGAGGCCCCTGCTCCTGGGAGAGCCAGCGGGGCCCAGCACACACCCTGTGTCCAAACACAAGGGCTGCGCTCATAAAACCGTGGGACCTCGCAGGCTGCTTCTGGACATGATAATAACAGAACTCACAACAATAGTATGGTTGTGAAGCTCAACTGACTTAATATAAGTAAGAGACTTAGAGTAGTAACTAGCTTGAGGAAAAACAAGCTATTATTTCACATCTAGTTGAAGATATTTTTTTAAAAAAGTGTGATTTCAGCACAGTGTTTGATGAGAAGCACACAACAAAGTCCAGCCATTATTGAAGTTATTATTATTACTTATTTTGTATTACTTTAATAATATTATTCATTACTATTATCAGTTTCAGACTTAGAGGTGACAGACGTGAGGTTGTCCCTGCTAAAGTACTTGAAAGGAGAATGACAAAGGAAAAGACTATAGCTTCTTCTTTCTTTTTATTAACTTTTTATTTTATATTGGAGTATAGGTGATCAACAATGTTGTGTTAGTTCCAGGTGCACAGCAAAGTGTTTCAGTTATGCATATACATGTATCTATTCGTTTTCAAATTCTTTTCCCATTTGGGTTGCTAGATAATATTGAACAGAGTTCCCTGTGCTATGCAGTAGGTCCTTGTTGGTTATCCATTTTAAATATAGCAATGTGTACGTGTTAATCCCAAACTCCCTAACTATCCCTTCCCACATTCCCCCCAGTAACTGTAAGTTTGTTCTCTAAGTCTGTTTCTGTTTTGTAAATATGTTCATATGTATCATGTTTTTTAGATTCCACATATAAGCGATATCATACAATACTTGTCTTTGTCTGACTTACTTCAGTCATTATGACAATCTCTAGGTCCATCCATGTTGCTGCAAATGACATTATTTCATTCTTTTTAATGGCTGAGTAATATTCCATTGTATATATGTCCCACATCTTCTTTATCCATTCCCCTGTCGTTGGACATTTAGGGTGCTTCCATGTCTCGGCTATTGTAAACAGTGTTGCAGTGAATATTAGGGTGCATGTATCCTTTCAGACCATGTTTTTCTCCGGATATATGCCCAGTACTGTGATTGTGGGATCATATGGTTGCTGTATTTATAGTTTTTTCTTTTTTTTCTTGCGGTACGCAGGCCTCTCACTCTTGTGGCCTCTCCCGTTGCGGAGCACAGGCTCTGGACGCACAGGCTCAGTGGCCATGGCTCACGGGGCCATTCGCTCTGTGGCATGTGGGATCCTCCCAGTCCGGGGCACGAACCCATGTCCCCTGAGTTGGCAGGTGGACTCTCAACCACTGCGCCACCAGGGAAGCCCCCTAGTTATAGTTTTTTAAGGAACATCCATACTGTTCTCCACAGTGACTATACCAATTTACTTTCCCACCAACGGTGTAGGAGAGTTCCTTTTTCTCCACACCCTCTCTAGCATTTATTAAGTGTGGGTTTTTTGATGATAGCCTTTCTGACTGGTGTGATGTGATATCTCACTGTAGTTTTGATTTGCATTTCTCTAATAATTAGCGATGTTGAACATCTTTTCCTGTGCCTCTTGGAAAAGGCTGTAGCTTCTTATCAATCAAAGCGTGGCCAGGATTCACAGCACGGACATCGCCTTTGACTTCGGTGAAGTTCAGGAGCTCAGATTTCGGCCGCAGACCTACGACTCAGAGTCTGCATGTTAAACTAGATCCCAGGTGAGTCAGGGACATGTTCAAGGTGGAGAGGCACTGCTCCGGTGTGCTGGAAACACACTGATGTCTAGATCCTCCCCCCATCCTCTCGCCACCCCAAAATTCCAGCTCCATTGGCTGCAGTACAAATGTTAGAACTGCTGTGCAGTCATGCTTGACACCCACCCATCTATCTTTTGGTCCATGGGCAGTTAGGCTGCAGGGGTCGATGGGAGTTTAGTTTCTTCAGCAAGTGCCAGTGAGAGGGTTTGTTTGTTTTTTTCTCGAAATGCCCAGTGGAAGGATGGAGGGACACGGAGAGAACACATTCTTCTCTCCCGCCCCCGCCGTTCCCCGTCTTCATTCCAACTATGGACACGTGACAAGGCTCTGTGCAGGCTTCTTGGCCAATGTTTCTGTTTCTCTGGTTGCTGTTCACAGTGTCCAGCTCTGCTGGCTGGCAGTCTATCTGTCAGGCCCGTGTACCTGGGGCTTGGCTTTTCGGTGGTGAGAGTTCGTATTTCCTTGAAATAGGTTCATCTCCTTCCTTCATCCACTCCTGCCAACTGCTCAGAACACCCAGAGCCTGCAGACATTTCCTGTGAGACCCTTGACCCCTGGTAGAAAATTCCCATTGCTACCCGGCTCAGACCAGTTATCTCAGTGACTGTTGCTGTGAGGAGGGCTGCTCATGCCCCATCGTAAAGCCAAGGACTCTCCTGGGGGCCAGTCTACTATTGTTTTGTGGGAATGAGGGTCATGGGGGTGTCATTTTCTGAATTTTCCAGAGAAGCTAACAACTTGGGATTTTATGAAAAAAATCATGTAAATGTTGACAGCTAGTTAAAAAAAAACTTCCAAGTCCTGATAGCCAAACCAAACATTTCCGGAGCTCAGACTTGCCCCCTGTTCTAAACAGCCCATTTGGATTGCAAAGACTCCACAAATCATAGAGTCTAATCCAAATGATCTCGCTGGTCCTTTGGAGCTGCTAGAAAAGGGGAGACACCCGGAATGCCCTAAGCCACGTGATCAAGGGTTTTTAATCCATTGACTTGTTAGTTTGGTAGCCCCTCTGCTGAAGGCACGTCTTCCTTAGGCCTAAGCATGGCTGTTTCTCACACTCACATCTAAGACCTCTGTATGTCCTCCTAGGGGGACAGGGGACCTCTCTGCCTGACCTGAGGCCAGATATGGTAGGAGTTGTGCAGGGCAGTTGTATTTCCCTAGGACAGCAGAATGGAACGAAAGAAAGGACGGGTTACACTCTCCAATCTTCTCCCTCCCCTCTTTTCTGCCCTCCCTGAATGACAGACAGCCCCAGCATTTGACAGAGCCCCTTGTTTAACGCTGCCACGTCTCTGCTAGTGACCGAATGTTTCTCCCTCAGTATTGTCTTTATACAAGATGATGTGACTTGTGTTTGTTGCTAAAATTATATCTGTAACAGATGCCCCCATTGTTGGGCCCTCGGTCCATGTGGAGCAGATTAATAATGCAGAGACAAAGGCCTCAAATACTCAGTGACTTTTAGAGCAGAATTTGCCGCAAGGGACTGGGGCCTTACACTGTGTTCGGCACGGTGATCGGACAGGCCTGTGAGAGAACAGGAATTGCGACCACAGTCTAAATGCCATTGGAATTGTAGGCAGAGCTCTTGGGGTAAACGGGCAGGGAGCATAAAGCATCAAGAAGAGGCATC